AAAATGGGCCAGATTAGGAGTACCCTTAACCGACGAGCGTGTATGCGTAGATATATGGATGTAAAAGAGGCGAGAGAGGTGTGTCAGGATCGCGCCAAATGGAAGTCCGTAGTCTCTGCCTACCCCTCTGGGTGACAGGCGTGAGTGTTTATGTATTATATATGTATAAAATATTTTTCACCATTATCACCCGCGAGTCTCATCAAAGTTTTGACAGCGTGTTAATGTACACACGCTGTACCAAATGTGATTGCTTTCAATCTGTAATATTTCCCACTAGCTGGTTAAAAGTACTGTCTGAGATATTACGACGCCCGAGTAATATGTAGTAGTCTGTATCTTTCTTTGCCAATGTTTCTCTGTGCATTTTCGTAACATCATCTATAAAACATATACCTTATGCAGGTGACATATCATTAATATGCTTCACATAACTTCCTGCCGTACAAAGGTTTTCAGTAAATGGAAAATTACGCTGTATATGTGCCGTATATTTTATTATTCGTTGAAAGCCCTGGGTAACTACGAAATATCGTTCGAGACGTAGGAAAGAGAAAAGATGCAAATCTATAAGAACATTGTTGCGCAACGATAAAGTTTAATTTAGGTTGCGTGCCTGATTTGTCTAATTAATAATAATTATGCAGGCTATTAAAACGTCGGCAAATAGTCAACGTTAATGAAGTGCTAATTCTGTACGTAGTACTATTCTTTATTCTGTGGTTGGGAGTAATCTAAAAGTTGTTGATTATAATCTATACACTCCATTATACTCTATACAATCAATTATAATATAGTATATTTTTATATGTGTTAAATATTTTAGAAGAATGGACTTAGTTTGTGTAAACCCTCAAACCAAAAACGCATTTGTGAACAAATTTTACATATTTTTAGGACCCTTTCTATATAACAAGCTCAATAAGTCACTAAAGGTAAATAGTCTAAGTTATAAGAACTGTAATATAAGTGTAAGGGATTTTTTTTTATAGGAGAGGGGGCAAACGAGCATGCGGCTCACCTGGTGGTAAGTGACCACCGCCGCCCATTGACAGCTGCAACACCAGGGAGGGAATCGCAGATGCGTTGCCGGCCTTTTAAAAAGGAGTACGTTCTTTTCTTAAAGGTCCCTAAGTCGTATCGGTCCGGAAAAATCGCTGATGGTAATCGATTCCACAAGGAAGTCGTGCGAGGAAGAAAACATCTTCTAAATCGCACAGTGGTGGACCGCCAATCATCCAGATGGTGTGGATGGTATCGGGAGTTCTGCCGCGATGGGCGTTCGTGAAATTTGGCGGCTGGGATTAATCCGAACAATTCCTCAGAGCACTCACCATGGTAGATGCGAAAGAAAATGCAAAGGGATGCAACATCTCTTCGCAGTGCCAATGAATCGAGCGGCTCGAATCGTCGACGATTCGCGCCGCTCTGCGCTGGATGCGGTCAAATGGAAGGATCTGGCACTAGGGAGCCCCTGCCCAGAGATGGGAACAGTATTCCATGTGAAGCCGAACCTGCACCTTGTAAAGTTGCAGGCGGTGTGCCGGCATGAAATACTGTCCCGCTCTGCTGAGCACGCCAAGCTTTTTAGAGGCCAATTTGGCCTTCTCTTCCAAGTGACCACGAAACTGCACGTCACTCGATATGTCGACTCCGAGGATACCGATACTGGCTGAGGGAAGAAGGGGAGTGCCTTGAAACTGAGGAGATACGACAAAGGGGTTCTTTTTAGCGGTAAACGCGCAAGCTTGTGTCTTCTGAGGATTAAACTGGACTAGATTTAGTCGCCCCCAATCCGAGACTTTGTTCAGCAAAGACTCGACTTCAGACACAAGTTTGTTCCGGTACTCGGCGACGTTTTCCCGAGAAATATTGGCACGGCCGGTGTATAGAGCATCACCAGTGCTGTCGTCCGCATAGCAATGAATGTTACCAGTTAGCAACATATCACTGATATGCAGAAGAAACAGCGTTGGTGATAGCACACAGCCTTGTGGAACACCAGCGTTAATAGGCTTGTAGTCAGAACATGCACCGTCTACAACGACCTTGATGCTGGTGATCCAATTGCACAATTTCTCGGGAAGCCCATAGGAAGGAAGCTTCGAAAGAAGCGCTTTGTGCCAAACCCGATCAAAGGCCTTCGCAATGTCCAGACTAACGGCCAACGCCTCCCCCTTGGACTCTACTGCCTCCGCCCATCTATGGGTCAGGTACACCAGAAGATCACCAGCTGATCGACCCCGACGAAAACCGTATTGGCGGTCACTAATCAGCTGGTGATCCTCAAGGTACCGGATGAGCTGGCAGTTAATAATGGATTCCATTATTTTGGAGAACAAGGAGGTGATCGCGACAGGCCTATAGTTGGACGGGTCTGAGCGGTCGCCTTTTTTAGGGAACGAGTGGACAAAAGCTGTTTTCCATGAGTTCGGGACTACGCCTTGGGAGTAGGACTACTGGAAAAGACGCGTTAGGACCGGTGCCAACTCCGGAGCACACGTCCTCAGCACAATTGGGGGGATTCCGTCAGGCCCACTCGACTTCTGGATGTCCAGGGAGAGAAGTGCTTTGCGAACCGAGTGCTGAGAGAACAGCACATCCGGCATGGAGCACTCACACCGCGGGATGGTCGGTGATGTTTTCCCCCCGTCATCAAGAGTCGAGTTGGACGCAAAAAGAGAGCCTAAAAGGTCAGCTTTGTCTTTTGCGTCTTAGGCCAGTGTGTCGTCCTCCCTGTGCAGAGATGGTAGTGATGGCTTACAGAAATTCCCTTGGACAGCCTTGGCAAGAGACCAGAATGCACGGGTTCCCGAAGGAAGGCGAACTAGTTTCTCGCCAATTCTGCCTATGTGCTCTGACTTTGCCTTGGCAATAACTCTTTTGAAGGACCTGGAGGCGAAGTTATACTTCTTTTTAAGTGTGCTGGTGTTTACATCCCGAGTCGCCGAAGCCGCAGCCCAGGCTTGATAACACTCCTGCTTACTGCGTAATGCAGTCTTACAGGAGCGACCAAACCAAGGCTGAGATCTGCCTCCGATGGGTACCACAGATGATGGAATAAATAGTTCCATTCCCTGTAGCACCACATCAGTGACAGAGTCAGCAACAGCGCTGGGATCATCCGGCGAGAAGCAAACCCGCCCCCATGGGTAAGATGCAAAGAAAGACCGCATTCCGTCCCAATCCGCCGACCTGTAATGCCAAACACGGCGGCAACCTGCAGAACGCAACCGCGAGGGGAGCGTGAGTGGCACCACACTCCGGATCAGACAATGGTCCGAAGAGCCGAGAGGGGCATTGACGGAAACCTGATATCCGTCCGGATGAGAGGTCAGCAGAAGGTCCAACAGGGATGGTGTATGATCCTCCACATCTGGAATCCACGTAGGCGAAGTAACCAGTTGTGTCAGACCATATGCCAAGGCAAAGTCATAAACAGATCTCCCCGCATGATCGGTAAAACGTGAACCGAGCCATTCGGCGTGGCGGACGTTAAAATCGCCAAGGATCACGATCTCTGCGGATGGGACCTGTTGTAGCAAGGAATCTGTAGCCATTTGGACGTCGTCGATGAGTCGGTCTGTTTCGGCATTACCGCTATGGGACCTATAGAGGCACCCGTAGACGCGCGGATGGTCGTCGCTGTCTACGCGTAACCAAAGGATGGACAGGTCCGAACCTTCAAGACTGCCGAGGCGTCGAGAACAGATGTCCTCTCTGATATACACGCAAACTCCAGCCCGAGGCACAAAGGAGTGCTCCAATTTGTACCCCGGGTAGGAGAGATACGAAATATCAGCCGGAGAGGAAACCTGCGTCTCGGTCAGAAAGAGCAAGGCCGGCTTCGCCGTCTCGAGATGGTAGTGGACGGCGTTTAGGTTAGAGTGAAGTCCCCTGATTTTGCAGAAATTCACGGATAGCGTGGCAGGGGTCGCCTTGGTATTGTTACTCAGTTTGCCCCGTGCAGTTATGTTTTTGAGCGGAATTTGCCCCCCCCCCCCCCCCCCCCCCGAATACGCGGGGCAGCCTGAGCACCCACGCTCAGGATTGGAATAACATGGTCGTGGATGCTCAGCGAGGGATTCTCCAGGGGTACTGGTACCCTCCTGGGGTAGTCTATTGTGTAATTCCGCTACCATGTTGATAGGGGGGGGGGGGGGATTGGGCCTCCGGCCACCTGCACTCACCAGACGAAACGCAGAAGCAGAGCTTCTACTTCACGCCGGTATTCTGTGAGGTCGTGGTACCAACCCGGCTCGAGCCGGCCCATACGTGCAACAGCAAAAACTGCTGCGTGGCTCTACCTCCGTTAATTAATTTCTAAATAAATTAAATTACGAAGACACAGTGAAGTTCTTAGAAATTCTAAAATAGTTTGTATTAATTGTAGGTAACAACTAATTGTTATTTAGTTATTTTAGTTATTATATAACATAGTTTAATTATTTAAATATTTAGTGTCCTACATTATTAAATACATTGTGCAAGTGATGTCTGAAACATAGGTACTCAACCTAGTTCAGGCAGGTAGATAATATTATAAACTTGACTTTTCTATTTTTCTGCCGACTTCCAAAAAGGAGACGGTACTCAATTCAACTGTATGTTTTTTTTTATGTGTGTTACCTCATAACTTTTTACTGGGTGAATCGATTTGGATGATTCATCATAGCATGTCATTTTTGTTAGACTTATTGTTACGAGTACTTTAGTTAATTGTAATTTTATTTGTTCCTGTATGTAAACATGTGTAATTGGAAATGAAATAAATATTTAGTATTGTTATTATTTTTATAATAGAATTTTCTCTTATTAAATAACAATTTTTATATTGATTACATACTTTAACAACATTGTAATTTAAGATGTCCCTATTTAAATATCTACTATTTAAAATAGTTTAGAGTAAATACTCTATTGTAAATAATAATTTTGTTTGATAATTCATAGGCTCGATTGAGAACACATTGGCGGATGATAAAGTGAAGTATTCATACCTGATAGCGGCCGGTGAGGAGATAGAGGCCGCGCAGCGCAATGAAGGTATCGCGGCCCCAGCAGCGCATGTAGCCGGTGACGAAGTGGGGCAGGCCGGCCGACAGCGAGGCGCGCGCGCGGCCGCCGGGCAGCGGCGCCGAGCGCACGGCGGCCGTCAGCTGCACGCCCGTCAGCGCCAGCTCGCGCACCGCGCGCCCGCCGCGCGCCCACGCGCCCAGCCGCGCCGCCGCCGCGCGCTCCACGGCCGCGTGCAGCGCGCGCGCCGCCGCCTCGAAGTACATCGGCAGCAGGAAGCGCGGCAGCCCGGCCAGCGGGGCCAGCGCCGCGCGGTAGCACGCCGCCACGCCACCCAGCCGCGGTTCCGCCTCCAGCCGCCGCCACTGGTACTCCACCAGCCAGTCGCCGGCGCGCAGGTTGTCGCACACCGGGTGCCCGAGGTCATCCCGCGCCACCACCTTGTACACGCGATACTCACGCTGCAGCTATATTATGCTTGTAACACGAATATCTCGGCACGAAGAGCCACGCGCTCACAGAATACCAGCGTAAAATACCAGCTTAATGCTGCAGTGTTTTGTAAGTGTAGAAAACCGGAGACCTTTTTTAATGGAAACGCGAATTTCCATTTTAATCCTCGGGGTGACAACGCATATACATTTTGATAACTTAATCAAAGATAAATTGTAGATGTCTATGGCCAATTGTGGAGGTCCATATCACACCTATGCCGGTAGTTCTTGGGAATACTACGCGCGAAGTTTTCGACGAGGATGTTTACCTATACAAATAGTCCAACTACGTAAGTCTAACTTTGACCGAGAGGTCAATTGACGGATTCAACGAGGCTGCGCAGCGTTAGAGAGATACGACACATCTTCTCGTCAGGTATAACTCAAAACGTGAAAACAAAATTGTAGAACCAGTGCGTGTTTCCAGTGGTGACTTATGGCTCAGAGATGTGGGCTTTCATTGCTGACGGTATAAGGAAATTCAAGGTCGCTCAGCAAGCTATGGCGACGACTATGCTATGGGTTTATCTACGTCATATATTTAAAAATAAGGATAACTGCACATAGCCAAAAAGATTAGAATAAAAAAAGATAAGAAGTAAGTTGAAGGCAATGGCCCGGCCATAACCGACAACCGATGGGGGAGAAAGGTTCTCCAGAGGCAGCTTCGTACCGATAGGCAAAGTGTAGAGCGGCCCTCCACTAGATGGAGTGACGATCTGGTAAGATATGCCGAAAATCGAGAGATGCAGGTTATTTAGGAGAGTGCTTTGTGGCATTCTTTGGCAGTGGACTCGTGAAGGGCTGTAATGAATGAACGATGTGCCACAGCATCCATTTACCATCTGGTGGACTGTGTGCTCGTTTGCCACTCTTATTCTATAAAAATATGATATCTTATTCTATAAAATATACCTCGTCGAACAGTGACACGACGCCCTGGAGGCCGGCGTACACGAGCGGGCCGTAGCCGGGCACGTCGTACACGCCGCCGTCGCAGCGCTCGCGCTCCTCCGCGTCGCAGCAGTACAGCAGCGTGTTGAAGTCGGCGAGGTCTAGGTCAGCGAGCGCGGGCGCCAGCGCGGCGGCCAGCGCGTGCGGCGCAACGTTGCGCGACGCGGCCAGAGCGGCGGCGTGCGGCGCGTCCGGCGACACGCGCAGCGCCACCACGGCGCCCGGGCCGAGCGCGCGGAACTCCAGCACGGTGTGCGCGCCCTCGCGCCGCGCGCCCGCGAACACGCTCGACTGTGCCAGCGCAACGCTCCGCTGCACGCACACCTCGTACTCGCTCAGCCCGTTTATGTACTGAGCGTGTTTCGTGAACGAGCTCGGCGGTTTGAACGGCTGCCCGCTCGTTCTGAAATAGACCGAAAAGTCTTTCATTATTTCTACTGTATTAATAATCATAAAAAATTTATATAATTTGTTTATTTTATTAAACTTTATTTTGAACACGAACAGCAATATGGGATGTTTTCCTTTTGATGTTTCCCAATTTACATATGGGAATATGTTTTAATAGCTATGCACCTATTCAAACATATTTCCATATGTAAATTAAAATGTACATAGATTATATCACACTTCACGTTTGCTTTTAATACAAAATACCTGTAATCAACATGGCGCATGTTCGCCTCGAAAATGATCTCGTCCAATTGTCCTTCGAAACGCAAAGGTTTAACGTAGCGGCCGCCGAATGAGGGATCGGGCGCGTTGAACGCCGTGAATGCAACTAAAATTACTGACTGTAAAAGAAAAAAATATTTACTTATTAAAATAATGATGATTATTGCTATATTCTTATATAAAATCTTATTTAAACGTGGTAGAGCCATGCTGCAGCTATATTATGGTTGTAGTACGAATAGGTCGGCTCGACCAGGGAAGGACCACACTCTCACAGAAAACCAGCGTAAAATAGCAGCTTAACGCTGCTGTGTTTCATATGGTGAGTGTAGAGAACCGGAGACCCTTTTTACTGGCAGAGGCATTCCATCTTAGTCCTCACGGATGACAACGCGTCTGCATCTTGAGTCTTTATTATAATATTTATTTGCAAGAAATATGGTTGTTACACAAGATGTTAAATTAATTATAGCACAGGACATATTTCACCCTCATTACGGGCATGCAAAATCATGGTAAATTTACAACAATTATTTGAATACAATTACAATTATTAGAACTATTTGAATAACAATTTATAAGAACTATTTGAATTACAATTATTACAATCTTTTAAATTTCAATTATTTGAATTACATGATTACAATTACATAAATTATTGAATTATTATAATAGACTAAGTTACAGGAAATAAAAGAAAGATCTGATATCTTAGTGGGCACCAAAACGGCAAGTACTTTTATTCAAAAAATCTTTAATAGTATAGAAACTCTCCTGGATCAACCATTTTCGCAAGGCACAACAGAACCCTTTATATGGCAGGTCAATCATTCTTTTGGGCAAAGAGTTATATATTAGAGGTGCCATATAAGCACAGTTTTTTTTAAACAGTTCTAGCTTAGGCACAGGCATTTTTAAGGGCACGTGGTTAATTTTTCGTTTAAATGTATTGTCGTTAGCGGTGAAGAGATGACTGTTGTATTTAACAAATTTAGCTGTTTCGTAGATGTATATGCAGGGAACAGTTAGTAGATTATTTGATTTAAAGGTCGGTTTACACGATTCCGACCAATCCATGCCGTACAGGGTCCGAATGCATTTTTTCTGTGCTATAAACACCCTCGTGATGTCACAGGAATTTCCCCAGACAACTATGCCATATCGTATAATGGAGCAAATGTAAGCATGATATACCATAATAGAGGTATGTCTGCTTGTCACGTCTTTTACCTTTCGAAGTGCAAAAACAAACTTATTTATTTTTATGCATAATTTATTAATATGTTCTTTCCATGAGAGATGTGTATCGAGAATAATGCCTAAGAATTTAGCGGTGTTTATCTGTTGTATAACTGAACTATAACTTGTTGTAACTAATATTTAATTCCATGTTTTTACTCTTATAAGTTTTGAAGTTAATTAGTTTCGTTTTATCAATGTTTATTTTCAATTTGTTTATGTTTAACCATTGGATAACATCTTCTAACGTTTTATATATTTCCGTCTCATAGGTATCTATATTTTTACAGCCCATAATGATAGTCGTGTCGTCTGCAAATAAGACACAATCATGTGTGAGTGCACGTGGAAGGTCATTGACGTAAATAAGAAATAAAAGGGGCCCTAAGATGCTACCTTGTGGCACCCCGGTACAATTAATCCTTTGTTTCGAGTCAAACTTAACTACATTATTTGTTTCAGTATCAAATTTTTTAATCCTAGCGAATTGTTTCCTATTTTTTAAATATGACTGAAACCATAACAATGAAGATCCCCTTATTCCACATTTCTCAAGTTTCGAGATGAGTATTGAATGATCAACAAAATCGAATGCTTTGCTGAGGTCTAATAGTAGAGCTAGTGTTGGGATTTTATGGTTGATATTATTAACGATGCTGTTTATTAGGGTGAAGGTAGCTAATTGCGTTGACCGATATTTCCTGAAACCAAATTGTTCCGGTGCCAAAATGTCATATTTATCTAGGAAGCTTATTATTCTTTTGAGCATAACTTTTTCAAAGATTTTAGATAGGACCGGAGTTAAAGCAATAGGCCTATAATTGTTTTTGTCAGATTTTGACCCTTTCTTATGTAGTGGCTTTATTATTGACAACTTAAGTTTGTCTGGAAAGCATCCTTGCTCGAAAGATAGATTTATAATGTGAGCCAAAGGTTCCGATATAAATAGAGCAATATGTTTCAATAAGTCGGAATTAATTTCGTCATACCCCGCCGACTTTGAATTTTTCAATGAAATTATTGTGTAAAAAACTTCATTTGGATCCGTGGGTTTTATAAAAATACTGAAGTCGTTACTTTTAAAATTTGACGTGGGATACTTATCTTCATTATTGGCAGATGTAGAACTTGTAGAGTTTTGAACTACATCAATAAAAAAATTATTAAATATGTTTGCTATGTCAGATCCAGATGTAACTGTACTTCCATTGTCGACAATATTATCAACGAATGGACCAGTCCTAGGTACAGTACCGTCAACACATCGTTTCACTACGTCCCAAGTTGCTTTACCTTATTGCGAGAATTGGTTATGTACCTTTGGTTACAAAGCGATTGAGTGCTTTTTATACATTTCCTTAACAATTTGGAATATTTTATATACGCAAATTTATTATTATTGCTTCTATTTAAGTAGTAGTTGTATCTTAGTGTTCTTTTGGTTCTGCAACTAATTTTAAGACCTTTTGTTATCCAAGATATTCCGCCGGCTCTAAAACTATTTTTCCGTCTTATTATGGGAAAGCAAAGTTTAAAGAATAATGTTAATTCTTCGTGAAATTCATTAAAAGCCTCATTTGTATTTAATCTATTGAATATTTCAGAAAAAGTTATACAGCTAATGCACTCAACAAATTTACTTAGGTTATTTTTGCTGTAGTCACGTGTAGTTGTGAAGTAATGTTTAGATATTTTTTCTAATTGTTTGGTTTCAAATTCAATTGTTTGAGGTGTTACGTGATCCGAGAGACAGAAGTTGTGCGTTCTACCTATCGCAGTTGAAATATTACTAAGGATGTTGTCGATACATTTATCAATTCGTGTTGGTTCCTGAATATGACACTGGAGTCCGAAATTGTATATAAGTTCTAGGAACTGAGTACTTGCGCTATTGTGAGCCAGTATATCAATATTAAAATCGCCGCAAATAATTAATTTACGTTGTTTGTGTTTGTGGCGTAGTTTAGATAGCGCTTCATTGATTTTGTGAAAAAATATATTTATATTGGAATTAGGAGTTCTATAAATACATATAATAATTAGTTTTATTTGAGGAATTTCTAGGGCACAAATTTCAAAATGTTTTTCAATACATAGTTCATTGATCTCATGCAATTCCACGCCTTTGAAGTCATTTCGTAATAAAATACAAGAACCCCCTCTCCGTTGCAATTGCCTAGAAAAAATGGTTGACACATGAAAATTACTTAGTGCTAAAAATTGCTCCTCACCTTTAATTATAAAATGTTCAGTGAGACATACGGCGATAACACGTTTATTTGATTCATGTAGTTCATTGAGGGCTAATTCTAGATCATCCATTTTACTTAGTGCGCCTGCGATATTTTGGTGCATAATACTGCACAATGAGGTATTAATGCGCTTACTTACGAAAAAGCTGCTCTTTGTCCTTATTAGTTAATACCGAAGAAATATTTACAGAATGATTATTATTTGTGACTGCTGCGAAATAAAAGGGTATTGTGCCTTTACGAGGTTTAAGTTTAGATGGCAGGATCGTAGCGGAAAGACTTTTGGCGTCTTGGAAAATATAGTGCTTTAAAGTATTAAAGATGTTTTTCATGCCATGTCTATTTAGTACTCCACTTTGCTTATAAAACATTGTGTTGTCGTATTTTAGATTTAAATTGGAATCAAATAATATTGCATAATTATATTTACATATATCTTGGTATAATAAGGTATTAAAAGTCTCAACTCTTGAGTTAAAAATGTTGTTGTAACCATTGAATTTATAGGTAGGCAAACACAGTACTAGGTTAGTGTAGCCAATTGACATTAATGTTTCGCGTATACTTATAACTAGATCATAATAATTTGCAGTTGTCTCAAAGTCATCATAGGAGAACTCCTATAAAAATCAAACAGTAGTCCTGTTTATTGAAGTTGACAAGCTTGTTGTTAATATTATTGAGTAGCTGTTTAATTCCACAGTTTGTCGAAATATAATGGCATATATCATAATTAGGAAACGTATTTAGCGCCAAGGTGAGAATATTATTTACTTTGTTACTACTAATAATACAAAGTTTTTGACTTGGACGATTAACTGCTATCTGACCGGGATTAAATGGGGAGTGCGTGGGTACCTCTGGTTGTAGAATGTTGTTTACCACTTTGGGCTTTATATATGAAGATGTGCCACAATTTTCATTCTCCCGTAAAGTATCGTTTAATGGACTGGCGGCGCCATCTATTGGCGGGTCGCTGGTTAATGAATTCTGCCCAAGATCAATCAAACTCGTGTTGTCTTCGTCATCTAATGTCAGCCTCAAGTTTCTTGACATCCTCTTCCTTGGCGTTATCGCTCTCGTCCTGGGTTCTGAACAAATTCTATGATATATTTGTGATTTTTGTTTATTTGGAGCGTCTTTTAACGACAAGTTCTCTTCTCTTAGTTTTACTATTTCTAAATGTGCGCTTTCGAGTTTGTTTCTAAGTAGTAATAATTCTTTCTTGAAGTCTTCTTTGTCACTATCATATCCAGTAGACAGGTCCGGTAAACTATGTCTTCTTATTTCTGAATTTGTAGATTCAAAAGAGAGATCAAATGATTCGTTCAACAATGTTTTTTGTCGACGTATTGTAACATTTTCATCTGCCATTATAATTCCTTGATAATGTATTATTGATATAATATTCGAAGATTGGGCAATCACAAAACAGTAACGCACCCTGTCGTTAACTGTAAACAATTTGTATGTGAAGTATTTTAGTCAAATCACTGTGGTTTTTCTCTACAAGGGTATTGCTAATTTGAAGGAAACATGTACCAAAAGAACTTTACCATATCGGGGTTTGAACTTGAGATTACCCGTCTGCGATAATTTGTTGTAAACAAGCGATGCCTCTACGCCAC